AATGTTACTAATATCTAATGCACTATACTGAAGCATTAAAGATTCAGTGATGAAACTTTAAAGTTACTGTACTGTATATTTCTTATATATTTCTTATATTTCTTTAAGAAAAATTTGAGCTTATTTACCTATTAGAGTACAGAATGGAGATTTATCATATGCTTTATTGCTGCTTTTTTAAAGAAATGTTTTTCACTTTTCAAAGCTTTTCTACAAATTTTTTGCTTCTTATTTCTTATCATGAGATTGATGATATGGAGGTAATATAATCCAATAACTTTCTAATTTCTAAAAAGATTTTAAGCTTCTAGCATAAAAGTACACTATAGGTATGTAATTCATTTGGTTTTATTGCCTTGCTAAGACCAGGGGCGTAACTGTTGGGTGTGTGTGGGGGTGTGGCACCCCCCAATTGCTAAAAATAGTGTTTTTGCAGGGCATATTACCGTCAAGTGGCAGGGCAGTGTTCAGGAAGTAGAAAAATTACCATACCATTGAAAAACAACTAAATGATTACTAAGTGGAAATAACAAACCTTCATTTTTGACAATTTTGTCTTAATTCTACAGTGCAATGTGTCTGTGAGATGTGTAAGATTAAGTAATTATAAACACAGATACACATTCCGCTGGATACAATGATGAACCATTGCAAAATGGTGATAGCAGGGAGGGCACATTGTATATACACTTTGTGTATACACACTTGTTTATATATGATTTATAAAAACACGTGGATACAGAAGAAAACAAACAAACTACAATGACAACAACTCATTAACCAGAACCAAAGCAACCTCGCTCCGTAAGAAAATGGTCAAATTTAAGTTTGTTTTTGCAGTTATGTTTACGAGGTTTATCATGAGAAAGACCAAGATCCTGACAGTACAGATGCAGAAGCCAGAGCTCAATATCCTTGATGGTCTTCAACTGATTGATGAAACTGTTAAATCACTGGAAAGAATACGGAACACTGAATCAAATAGATGCGAGTGTTGAGTTTGCGAAGACTCTAGGCTCCAATCCCGAGGAAGAGTTTGCTAGAAATAGTAACAAAAGATCAAGCAGACGTTTGGATGACAACCCTGAGACTTTGGCAATTATGTTACTAAAAACTAACTATCGAAAATGCATGATTGAGGTCCTCAATTCCCAATGCAGAGAATATAGAGATAACATAAAAAGTTGTTTGCAAAAGATAAAACCCTTAGCTGTTATCCTTCAGCCTCCACTGACTAAATCAAATGTTGAACAAGTTGAAAAGGTCACTGAACTTTTTCCTCCATCAATTAGCGTAGATTGTATGTCACTGTATGCAGAACTTGAGATTTTTGTTAACTTTTTAAATGAGACAGAAGAAGAATGTAAAACAGTCCACGACGCCGGAGACACTGCTTTCAAAAATAAAGAAATTTTCCCAAACGTTTATAAATGCTACAAACGTCTGTTTACGGCTCCAGTAAGTGTGGCTGATACTGAAATATCATTCAGCAAAATGAAAATTGTCAAGAACTACTTGCGCTCAACAATGAAAGGTGAAAGGCTGGAAGAACTTACAGTACTGACTATAGACAACGGCTTACATTAGAAAGTTGGTATACCAACTTGGAACAAACCCACCTGAACAGATCACAGCAATTACCGGCACCTTACAAACGACTTATTCACAATACAAACAAACGATCAACTAAAAACATTACACTTCAAACTAATTCACAATGACAATGCACAATTGACACCCACACATTACAACTAAAAACGTCACACCTAAATCACACATCACAATAAAATATTTCACTTCACACTAATCCACAATGACAATACACATTTCCTGTACACACAATACAATGACGTAGGAACCAGATAACAAATACGGCTAACCTGACGTTTACTCCTCATTTGACTCTGAAGATGACTACCGCTAAGGTTGTCGAAACGTCAGTCTACAACAACAAAAACAGTCCTTCTCAGGACTTTATTAACCTGGACGATCATCAATTACAAACATATAACGATACTCCCGGGTTCAAACCATTTACTTTATAAAATACTTTGTATGCATATTACTCAGAATGCTTTGAATGCAAAACACAAAAAGGAATTACGAGTTGTGGAGCAGGACTGAGTCACTAAACTATCTTAATGATGAGCCTCCGTAATGAACATGAAATTTTGACTGCACTTGATTTGAAAAACCTGCATGTGCATGCGCTTGCTGCCCATAAAGCGACGGTGAGAACTTGTAGTAGTAAAGGGGAAAGCAAAATTGATTGAAGTGCAAATTTTTTTTGATATTGTTGCCTGTCTAATTATCTCTATCGTTATTTCCACCATATCGGTGTGAAAGTTATAGTTGAGATGAGGTGGTCATTTTAAAATGTCAGGAGCATGAATCCTAATCTCTATCCAAGGAACAGTTTTGGTGCACAGACCAGTCCTATGTCATACCAGCTAACTCCTAACAATCCAAATGATAAGTAGAGTGAACTACCTGTTAATAAAGTTTAACAGCAGTTTCATTAAACCTGCTATGTTGAGTCTGCAAAACATCACGAGACTAACCACATGGCGAAGAATGGAAAGCAGCAGCCAATTCTCGAGAAGGCACGTTCAGAAAACATAAAAGGGTCCAGAAAAGGTTTAATCAGCTATTGGATTGCTTCGTTGTTTGTAACTTCTTTTTAGAAAGAATAGAACAAAATTTTAAGGAAAGTTTCGTGTCAATCCTTAAAAATCAAAATATATGCTAAAGGTTCAACAAATATTTGGCATGCTCAACCTTTGGTTCCCAAGTAAAGCTATAATTCGAGATAATTGTAATGATTAATGTATTTTTCATTCGATTAAGATTTAAAATTGCAAGATGAATATTTGTAAAAGAAAAATCCTATCATGCATTGTAGTAGTGTGCGAATTGAATCGTCAATTCGAATTGCATGATATAACAAATGTGTGTTTAATTAAGTTTTGATTTGGGTGTTTGGTAATTTCCTTTCATTCAAATTGATAAATAAGTGTGTATATAGTAGTTACCTACCGACGTGTATGCATTGCGTACCTATTTCTCTATTTGACAGACAATTCCGGATGTTATACTCGACGAATGTAATTTAAAGATGAGGAAAAATACGAATGATGAAAGAAGGAGAGTACAATTTTGTATGTGTCTAATTTCTATTTATTTCACGATTGTCACGGGTTGGCGCCAGTGGAAGGGCAGGGGGCTACAGCCCCCCTGTTGGGGAATCCAAGCCCTCCATCGGAGAAAATTTGACTATTTGTCGGGAATGAATAAGAAAAAATGTAATTTCCAATGCCGATTATTGCCGATCGTTTAAAGTAAAGTCAGCACTCAGCATCGGCAAAAATTTTTCATACACGCCCGCTATCGGACATCAAATAATAAAGTTACTCTGAAATACTTATTTTTGAATGTTCATTAGAGAAGAGATATGCAAATGCGGCATTAGATATAGTTGCATATGCAATCCCCACGACGATTGCCCGCTATTAGTTTTCTGTCGGTTGTTTTTTGCAACTCCACTTACGAATTTTGAAAGACAGTTTTTTTGTTAGAAAAACTAAAAAGCTCTGTTGTTTGAGTTTCAAATAGCAAAGAGCATCAGATTCTGCCAGTTTTACATGTATTGCGGCTATTGTCTTTAATAAATCGCCATCAAGCGTCTGTACAGCTAATGATGTTAGGAACTCATTGTGATTAAGGGAACAAACTGGATTTGGTTACCGTAGTGAACAAGTTCAATGCTTGGTTTTCCAAGTACAGAATTGTTCTTTGAACATGAAATAATGAAATCGAATGATTCACCGAAGTTATATCTTACTCGTGCATTATTAATATTGCCTCTTATGTTTATAAATTATTTTTATAGTACACCACTGATTCATTATATACATGCAGTCAAAAAGAACTGCTCACCAGTAAAAAAGTTTAACAGGGTAACATTAAGATAAAGTGACAAAACATAAGATTTAAATTAAACAATAAAAAAGTAATAGTATATCTAATAACTAATGGATCCTCGTCTTACTTTGATTACAGCTTTGTATAGGTTAAAGAAGATGTCCAATATGTTAATAAAGCTTTGACGGAGATAATTATTATTTGATTTTTACTATCCAACATTACTAGAAAACCCAGGGCATTCTTTTTACTTATTGTATAGCTTTGTTATAGCCAATCATATGTATATCCCTGGATTGCATGCATGACTAGGAGAGCTGTTAGTACAACGGTGATTGGTGGGGATATTCATATATTCAGTTGTGTCAGACTGACTTCTTTTAAAATTAACTTTCTTTTAAAAAAATTATGTAGGCACAACCAAATACATAAAAAACAACCCATCCCCCAAATTAGCGTTCTAGTTGCGGCAATCACAACTAGTCGAATACGTAGAGTTAATTTTTTATGTAGATGTAAATTATTATTTCCAAAGCAAACTACATGTTTCAACGATTTAGTCAAAGCGATTTAATAATTTTTGAAAATTTTGTCTGAAAAAAAATATTTGTAGGCAAAGCGCATTGTCACATCAACCTAGTATTCAGCCCTCCCGTCGGGGACCTTAGCCCCTCCGTCGGGGAACATCTGACGCCACCCCTGACTCATTGGCATAGTGTTTATGTTTATGTTATTAACCCCCGTCGTATAATCGGTATAGATAATATTCACTGGCAAAATTATCTTAAAATCTCTAAGGACAGCACGCATGCAGTGTCGCAACTATCAACTATGCAGGTAGTTTTGGTTCTGCAATGTTGAGTTCAAAGCATAATCATTCATTTCTTTATAAATCTTTTGTTGCTTCAGTGAATGAACACAGAAATATTTGTTTAGCATGACCAAATATTTGGGCTCGTAGCTGCATCGCTTTTATGCTAACGAAACTGCAGTTAGCTAGGGTTGCCACGAAAAGAAAACAACTTTCTTTTGGCGGGCTTCTCCTACTTTCTTATTTTTTCACGACAAAAAAATCATAATTGGAAAAATTAGTTTTTTATTTAATTTGGTAATGGCAATCTTTTCAGCCATGAAAACGCATGAAAATTTGCACCATTCAGGTAGCTTGTCCTCGTGACCAAACTTAGTAATTTTTACTACTAGATCAGCTCTGGTGAGTTTAGATAGCCCCGCCTGAATAAATAATTGCAACTTTTGGAAGTTTGGCAACAGGGGGAAGCTTTCTACACTGATCAATGCATTTTTGATGATAAATTATTCGTATATGGTCACTCTGGAGCTGGTCCCTTTCCTTCCCTCGAAGACTCATTGACTCCGTCGATTTTGAATTTGGATCCGCCACTGGTTTTTCCTAAAAATATTTTAATTTATAAAAGTCATAACAAGAATCTAATGTCAGTAGAAAACTTAAATACTTACGCTTTGAAAAACACGCTGTCAAGATCATAGTGTATGGCATTTTTCTTGAAAGAACTATCTGTAAAACTTCATTTATTTATAAAAATTTCAACTTGTCACTTCAACAACTGTGGGGGAGGGGGAGGACAACACAAAAATGTGACAAGGTTTGGAGGCTCCAAACTGAGGAGCATGTAAATTTATTTTCTTAATAGTTTCAGTAAAGCATTTGGCCTAGTCTTACCCCTTCCAAAGTACGAGGGACGTATGAAAGATATGATATAGCGTTTTTCTTTTGCCATTATCTGCACATTTCCGTTATGACGTAATGTGTAGCACGAAAAGTGCAAAATCATACGCATTCTCAAAATAGATAATTACGTACATGTCCCAGAACTCTTTTCGAGTTGATTTTAATTAATGCACTATAAACTATGTTATCCTAAATCATATCAGTACGAAGTTTTCTTGTTTACTTAAAATTTTTGAATATTTCAGTGAATTTAAGTCATGAGTTTTCTTGCCAGAGCGTTTGGCGCTGGCCCCTCAAAGAAAGAGCATGGTCCTTCAACACAAGAAGCGATACAGAGGTTACGAACGACCGAAGAAATGCTTCAGAAGAAGAGTGATTACTTGGAGAAGAAAATAGACTCGGAAACTAATATTGCTCGGTCAAATGCCAGCAAAAATAAGCGAGGTATAAGTTGTGTAACTATTAAACAAAGCGAACTGGTGTCTCTTCTTTTATTTCATGATTTGTCTTGTCGATTTATTGGTCAATAACATTTGAGAATATTTAGCAAATAGTGAAATTGTCGATGTTAAAAACAATGGGGTCTCAAAACGTACAAAACAGGCTTTGATTGTTATATTGCTGAATAAGCACTTACATTTTTGGAGTACTGTTATGTTGTCAAGATCTACATCTATATAACTTACAAGTCAGCCATGTTGTTAAACTATGATTATTGACAATTATATTGGTTATTGTGAATTGTAACCACAATGAGAAGGGGGTTTAGTGTCATTGCCATTGTGAGTTGTGATCACCATGAGATGTGGTTTAGTGTCATTGTTATTTTGAGTTGTGATCACCATGAGATGTGGTTTGTGTCATTGCTTTTCATCGTGAGTTGTGGTCACTATGAGATGTGGTTTAGTGTCATTGTTTTTTTATCCTGAGTTGTGATCACCTTGAGATGGGGTTTGTGTCATTCTTTTTTATCTTTGTTATCATGAGTTGTGATCACCATAAGATGTGGTTTAATGTACTTGTTTGTTATCATGAGTTATGATCACCATGAGATGTGGTTTAATGTTATTGTTTGTTATCATGAGTTATGATCACCATGAGATGTGGTTTAATGTCCTTGTTTGTTATGAGTTATGATCACCATGAGATGTGGTTTAATGTCATTGTTATTGTGAGTTGTGATCACCATGAGATGTGGTTTAGTGTTGTTGTTTGTCATCGTGAGTGGTGATCACCATGAGATGTGGTTTAGTGTCATTGCTTTTCATCGTGAGTTGTGGTCACTATGAGATGTGGTTTAGTGTCATTGTTTTTTTATCCTGAGTTGTGATCACCATGAGATGTGGTTTAGCATCATTCTTTTTTATCTTTGTTATCATGAGTTGTGATCAGCATAAGATGTGGTTTAATGTACTTGTTTGTTATCATGAGTTATGATCACCATGAGATGTGGTTTAATGTTATTGTTTGTTATCATGAGTTATGATCACCATGAGATGTGGTTTAATGTCCTTGTTTGTTATCATGAGTTATGATCACCATGAGATGTGGTTTAATGTCCTTGTTTGTTATCATTAGTTGTGATCACCATGAGATGTGGTTTAATGTTATTGTTTGTTATCATTAGTTGTGATCACCAGGAGATGTGGTTTAATGTCCTTGTTTGTTATCATGAGTTATGATCACCATGAGATCTGGTTCAATGTCATTGTTTGTTATCATTAGTTGTAATCACCATGAGATGTGGTTTAATGTTATTGTTTGTTATCATTAGTTGTGATCACCATGAGATGTGGTTCATTGTCATTGTTTGTTATCATGAGTTGTGATCACCATGAGATGTTGTTCAATGTCCATGTTTGTTATCATGAGTTATGATCACCATGAGATGTGGTTAAGTGTCATTGTTTGCCATTGGTTGTGATCACCATGAGATGGTGTTTGATGATTTTGTTTGGTAAAACAAAATTCAACAAAAACGACAAGTTTATTTAAAATAAACATGTTTCAACATCTCATGATGCCATCTTCAATATTATGAGGAATATTATGTATGTGATGAATATATATGAGTAATATGATACTGTGATACAATTTTTACACTTATGAATAGATTGTTATATTACAATGAAATAGTGGTAGAATTAATGATGAAAGTATTTACAGGCTGAATATAGTGTTTAAACGAAAAACTTGAACGTTGAGATTAGGGTTAGTTTTGTTAATGTGAAGTGCTTCTTTGATTATGAGTGCGAATGTAATATCTGCAGTGTCGATGATTTTAAAGCAAGCGGGTGAATAGTTAGTTTTGCATGAAAGTGATTTTAAAAGATGTCAAAAGATGTGTGAGTTTTTGTCAGTTGTGGTGTGTCCCCTGATTCTGGTGGCTGAATTACATCCCGCGCAATCGAATTGGTATACATAGATTTAATAGAATCAGGGATAGGATCTTTGAATGAAAAGTAGTTTTTGATTTGAAAGAAGTGAAAATTAGTCGGATGTTAATGTCAGTGCCAAAGCGTTTGATGATGTTTGTAAGTCTGCGTTGTGTGTGTCGTGAATAGAGAGCTTTAGCAAGAGTACGACTATGACAACGAGTGCGAAGTTTGACCGTGTAAGAGAATGGCATGAGGACGTTTTTGTCGTTATCGCTTCGTCAAAATTTTGTTTTAGCTATAAACAACAGAACGAGCCTTTTTATTGTAAAAAATACCGACGTTTGCGAAGCAGCTACGGCTCCATTTGTCAATAATGATATCAACTAATCGGTAATACTGATTTTGCGAGAACATAGGATTCTTTAGAGTGAAAAATCTTCACTATTTTAAATTTTATGTACGATATATTTATGCTATTTTATTGTTTGTTTACCGTTTACTTTGCGTGCGAAATACATGAAAGTTTTCAAGGTCATATTTTCCTTTTAAATGCACATATGCGCTCAAAAAAGGTTCTAAAGTAAAGCCTGGATGCTGGAAAATAGTACTGTAAACTAATTTTTTTACACAATGAAAAAATATACCTACTTTCTTTGCTTAAAAAGACATCGTAGTCGCCACTACGAATTTTTTACAAAACATCGTTCTCAAATTGATTACGGCTACGTATGTTGTTGTCGCAACAATGTTTTCGCGCCAAAATGACGTAATTCGTACTGGTAGTCGTACTCGTAGTCTTTGCTAAAGCTCCCTAATGATGTGCGATGTACGGTAGTTTAAAGTAAAGAGTTTTTATGGACTGTTCGTTGTTGTTGCTCCTGATTGTTATATCGGATGTTTTGGTGTTTGCTTTGCAGTTGGTATTACTTTTGTCATGGAGATATCGTTTGGCAGCTTTGTTGATGAAGTGTAGTGGGAAAGAGTTGCGTAATAAAATAGATGTGATGTTCTTTAGGTCTTGTTGAAAGCCATTGTCGGTGTTGTTAATTTTGTATGCTCTGTCTACAAGTGTGCTTTTAATCCAGTCTTGTATGAAAGTGGTGTAAAACTGAAGTAGTTTGTCAATAGTCCCGTGTAAGTTGGTTTGTGATACGTCGACGTTGTATAGGTGTCATGGGATTATGTTAATAAAATGTCTAGAAAGGTAGTTGGTTTTGTTTTCCAGTTTCGAAAGAAAATTTAATGTTCGTGGGTTGTTTGTTGATGTAACTAAAAAAGTTCATAGCCTCAGTCTCGTTTGTAAAAACACAAAAATATCGTCAACGTATCTGCCGTAGAAAAATGGTTTTGTGTCGTCGTAGTTAGTAATCCAGTTTCGTTCTTTTGAACCCGTAAAAATATTTGCAAGAATAGGTGCAAGGGGAGAACCCATCGCAACACCGTCGGTCTGGTCATAAAATTTTCCATCAAATAAAAATGTGTTTGTGCCGTTAGCTATTAAAAGCAGTTGTTTTAGGTCTGTCTTGGTTACGGTGAACTTAGGGTTGTCGGTGAAAATAACGTCAATGGCTAGATCAATCGTTTCAGTAAGCGGTATGTTAGTGAATAGGCTTTCAACGTCGTAGGAGATGAAGAATTTGTGACATGAAGTTGATGAGTTGAAAGATGAGAATTCGTCGAGGAAAGTGAAAGAATCTTTAGTGGAGTGGTCATCTGGTATGAGTGGTGTTAGTATGGAACTGAGATACTTATCTAGATTATAATCTTGCTTTAAAGTCATCGACACTGCAGATACTACATTCGCACTCAAAATCAAAGAAGCACTTCACATTAACAAAACTAACCCTAATCTCAGCGTTCAAGTTTTTCGTTTTAACACTATATTCAGCCTGTAAATACTTTCATCATTAATTCTAACCACTATTCCATTGTAATATAATAATCTATTCATAAATGTATAAATTGTATCACAGTATCATATTACTCTTATATATATTCATCACATACATAATATTCCTTATAATACTGTAGATGGCATCATGAAATGTTGAAACGTGTTTATTTTAAAATAACTTGTCGTTTTTGTTAAATGCGCAATATCAATAGTGCTTTTACGCAGTTACGGTAAAACAAAATTTTAAGGTGAAGCAGACTGAAAAGTTTATTAACTGTCCACTCAAGATTCAAAATTTGCGTACAAAAAAACCAAATTTTCTCCAAATTGTGCACCTGAAAGCTTGGGTGCACAGTATGTATACAAAATTTCCAGTCTGGAATCTAGACTCACTGTAATGCTCTTTTGAGTTGTATTGCTCAATAAAACCAAGGCTCAAATACATAAAACAGAAATTTTCTTCCTTAGCAATTGTGCAGTTTTGGTTGTTGGTGGTCATTTGAACAATAGACTGTAGATTTATTGTAGTATAGTGATGAGGTTGACTTCTCCTTATACAGTTGATCAATGGCATTCCATAATTTTAAATAGTAAACCTTCACCTATAAATACGTATGATAAGTTAGTAAGCTCTTTCTCATGGTGTGGGAAGAGCTTCGACTCAAGGACTAATGCATGCACTATTTTATCCTGTAGTGATCGGTAAACATTAGACTATTAAATATATTGGTTTTGAAATGGTTTGCCTTTTCTGTAGAATGAATTGAGTATTACAATAGTGGTGTTCTCATTCTCACAGTTTATGCAATGAGGCCCTATAGGCTGAGGTTTATGGAAAAGGCAAATTGCCTTTTGACAAAAATAGATTACTGGAGGAAGTTTCTTGAATTTATTTTAATTCAATTTATAGCTGCGTTAAATGCACTGAAACGAAAAAAAGCTTTGGAAAAACAACTTGCTCAAATCGATGGAACACTTTCCACAATTGAATTTCAACGACAGGCATTGGAGAATTCCAACACAAACACAGAAGTATTGAGCAGCATGAAGTATGCAGCAAGTGCTTTGAAGCAAGCTCAACAACTGTAAGTACTGTTATAAAAATTTTGGAGGGGGTATACAGTTTACATTTATATTTTCTTATGTTCGAGGGAATGGTTGCTGTTTGTTTGACAACTTTTGATGTCTGGTGCCACCCTGAATATTAAATAAGTTTGTTCTCCCCCCTTCATTGTTGAATTTGAAATTATCAATTTGTTTGATTAAGACATATGTTTCCCAAAATGTATTATGAAGACAGTTTGTTATTTATTCATTGTAGCATGTGTCACATCATGTATGACTTGACTAAAGTATTAGCATTTTCATCACATTGCCAAAAACTAAAAATGGTTATTTCTTCCTCTCTTTCCCAAGAGAAGTAATATGCCTTCATAGAAAATATGTATTTTTCATATTTTTTCCTATGTAGAATATAGATGTTTACAATGCTCTCACTGTAGAATGAACATGAATATTTGTTGTGTGTTTAGCAGTTAATCTCTTCTAATTTAAACATTAAGTTTGCATGGGGACTGTGTGTTTGAAAACTCCATGTCAGGTACAAGTACCAAAAATTTTTATGCCCTTCCAGAGATGTTGATGATGTGCATGATATGATGGATGATATCAGTGAGCAACATGAAATAGCCAATGAAATTGCTTCGGCAATCTCCAATCCAATTGGCTTTGGTGTAGATATTGATGAGGTATTTTTCAAATCTTGATTACATCTTTATTCTTTTAATCAAGAACTTAAACTTAAATTATGTTTTTGTTGTTTTACTGTGGTTTTTAAAAGCTTCAACTTAAGTAAAAATGAAAAAATTGAAAATAAAAATTGAAAAATAGTGATTTCAAAACTTCATTAAAACAAGCGTTTTTCAATCGTATTGCTAAGCATAAATGGACTGTGAGTTCTTCCTGTCCACATTAGCTGACATCTAAAAACTATCATGAAAATTACAGTGTTCAGAAGAGTTCAGTTAGCAAATTTTCTTCTGACAGGATGAGCTGAATGCAGAGTTGGAAGAGCTTGAACAAGAAGAGCTAGATGAAAGAATGCTAGAAGTTGGAGGAGCTTCACAGTTACCATCAGTACCAAACACCGAAGTACCAGTACCGGCTGGTATGTTGAAAGTTTATCATACAAAGCAAAATTTTGTTAATGCGAAAAAACTTTTCCAGCTGGCAATTTGAAGATACCTATATAAAAACATTCTCCAAAAAACATCTCCTAAACTGAAGGTTTGATATTAGCAAGAGACAAGATATAATATTTAAAATTTATTTCAAAGTCATTAACTTTTAAATAAAGTTTAAATATTGCTTTTAAGTCTCGTCTCTTGCCAACATAAATTTGGATGTTGAGTTTACAAGATGTTTTATTTGGAATATGTTTTATCATAAATTTTAAGTGTTAAGTAAGATTTTTTTAAATAGAAGTTTTACTCCAGAACATGATGTTGTAACAATGTCATTATTTCCCTTCAGGTCGAGCAAAAAGAAAGTTGCTGCCAATGATGATGATGACATGGCTGAACTTGAAGCATGGGCGTCTTAAAACATATGATGAATTACATCAACAACTTGATAAAGTACTAATGATGTGAATAATTTCAAGTGACTATATGTATACATAGCTTTGGACAACATTGTAATTAAAATTTAGTATGTATCTTTGACAAATATTTTTGTTTAATCAAAAACATTGAATGCTAAGAACCAATCTCCTTGCACAAGTTTTTTACAATTTACTTACTTAACAAAACACTGCCTTGTATGCAGCACTTACATAACAAAAAGAAGATATATGTCATTTTGTGAAAAAGTTTATATAAAGTATTGATTAGCGACGTTGTGACGTGCAAGTTTTCTGTAATAAAAGTTACTTCTTTGAAGAATTGAAGTTCTTTTATCTTTATAAGCAAACAAGGCAGTTGCATGGATGGCTAAATAAAGTAATTAAGTTTTACTGTTATTCATGCTACATTGACAAATTTTCTCAATTGGTTTTGAAAGCTAATCTAAATAGAATATAAAATAAATTATAGCCACAAATTTTAAATTCCAAATGTCTTCAGAACAAAACTATTGCATTTAATTTTTAAACAATAGTATTTACCAATAAAATTGCCTTTGTTACCTCAAGTCTGCCACTGCAAAGGTAAGCTGAAAAATTAGCCAATTTAAACAACACTTACTAAAGTTTTATTTAGTTGACACAAAAAATTTTCCAAAGTAGTTTCCTATAATTACTGATTTTGACATTTGAAAGACTTTAACTGTGTGTTCTCAGGTCACAACATATTGAGTCTGTTTTAAGCAAAATTTAATAATTATGAAAACAATGAAAAATGGAATAAAAAGCTTATAACACTCAAATGAAAGTTGTGTAAAGACAATGATGGAAACAAATCATCATTTCAGCTGCATCATTCATTTATTGAGAAAAACAAATTGAATACAGAATTTACATTGAACTCAGTTTCTTTGAACAAAATATTACTTTTTCTGAGTCAAATGGCTTGCAGCATCACTGTCCAGAAACCAGTGAGTGGTACCACTTGTCAATTTCACTCTGGCTGCGGGAATAGTGTTATTTTCATTCTCTTCTAACACTTTCTGAGCAACAACAGCCTTTCCGCTACCAGCAACAATAAACAGAGCACATTTTGCAGAATTGACAGCTGCATAAGTTAGAGTTATACGGCATGATGGTGGTTTTGGAGAATCGGCTATTGATGCAACCAAACAATCTGAAACATCAAGGAGTCGATGACCAGGAAACAATGAGCATATGTGGCCATCCGGTCCCATGCCGATCAAAAGTAAGTCAATGCTTTTCCCATCATCTAGACTCGACTTAAGTTTGTCCTCATAGTCCTTTCTAGCTTCTTCCAATGATAAATTTGGGTTGATGGTATAAATGTTCTGCTTTAATATGCCCTTTACTTTGGATATGAAATTCTGGTTCACAGCATTATAGTTGCTGTCAGAATGAGAAAGTTCCACGTACCTTTCGTCGCAGAAGTAGATTTTCCATTTGGAAAAGTCCAAATTAAGAACGTCTGGTAGTTCCAACAAGCCAGCTGGTGCAATGCTGGCAACACTTCCGCCGGAGAAAGCTATAGAAAAATATCCATGGTCCAAAATGGCTTCTCGCGCTTTTTTTGCTATGAATTTTCCGGTGCTAGTTTGCAGTTCGGTTTTTGTTGAAAATATTTGTACATCCACCATGATTTTGCAAATAAATTCAACGAAGGATTTTATTTGTATTGTAGTAAAATTTCGAATTACGTAATTTACAATTGCTAGGTACAAACAGGGAAGTCGAACAATATCTATCAGTGACAGTCATGAATTATGGGGGATATTGCTTGATATTGCCTATATTGAATTATGGGGGCTTCTTGTAAACAGCATAAATTAAGGGGCTGCAACAATTCTCGTCGATATTTGAGAACATTTTCTGAGTTTATTTGGATATTCTTATTTAACGTTGAATATTTTTGATAAAGTATTAAGTACAGCTCAAACTGATGCCTGTTATCATCAAGCTTAAAGGCATACCTTGGCAAACAACGACTCGAGAAGTGAAAACGTTTTTTCGCGACTCAAAGTTGTCAGACAGCGACATACACTTGGCGACACACGAGAATGGCAAACCTTGTGGTATTGGATTTGCCTGTTTTTACGACGACGAGGATGCACGTAGAGCCATGGAAAAGAACGGTGCGTACATTGGCAAGCGATATGTTGAACTGTTTTTAAGTAGCCAAACAGAAATGGAAAAAGTGTTAACTGAAAGGGCACCCTTGCCATCAAGGGGCTCGTCTAAGACTGGTCGTGGAGGTGGTAGCTTTGGTATTAGTGGACGGAAACGTTCACGGGATCGTAGCAGAAGCCCTCTTGATCGACACGGAACAAACTTTGATGTGGGAGTTGGGAACAAAACTTCAGTAGAAAAAAGAAGTCGAAGTCCTCTTCGAACAAGTAAGGGGTCTTTATTTGGGGTAGGAAAAACAGGAATTAAGAGCAAGGAAGGCAAATTTAGAGGTGGGGGTGTAAGAGGTCGTGGTAATTTTGGACGTGGTTCTAGGGGTAAGAGAGGTCGGGGAACATTTAGAGGAGGGAAGGTTTCCCAATCTTACACAAGCACATATTCTGATGATTCATCTAAAGGAAGGGCTTTCCAATCTGGACACAATTTTCCATTGATGGAAACTCAGTTTTAGGAAACAGTGACAAAGGTCTTTTTCTTAAATTAAGTGGACTGCCATATTCTGCAAAAGATGCAGATATTCAACAGTTTCTTAAAGGCATTAAGACAGCTGCTGTTTATATTATTCCCAATAAGGAAGGGAAATATGCTGGAAAATCCAGTGGAAGTGCTTTTATTGAATGTGCCTCCCATGAGGATTGTGAACGTGCACTAAAAAGAAATGGGAAGTTCATAGGTAACAGATACATCCATGTTGTCACATGTTCCATTCAGGATATTGTGTCAACACTAAATATTGATATGAACTTGCTATCGGGTTCGTTTTCTGGTGACAGTGGTGGAAATACTAGTGGGTATTCCTCAAAACCAGCTGAATCAGTTGAAGTGGACAGCTCATTGAGTATGGTGGCAGAAAGTGCAAACATCAATTTGGCTGACATCAAAGATGGATGTGTTGTTGGCATCAGGAATTTGCCTGTAGCTACAACACCAGATGACATACTTGAACTGTTTAAAGGCTTCCCTGCAATACCAGACTCTGTGAGGATCCATTACATTGACGCCAACCGCTGTTCAGGAGATGCTATGATTACCTTAGTGAGCAATGAGCGTGCAAGAAGTGCTATCAGGCAACTGAGTGGTAAGCTACTTAGTGGAAGAAAAATCGAGATGTTCCTGTTGTAGGTATTTAAATCCAAGATGTTACTGTTATCGATCAAGTAACTTTTTCCCAGTTAAAATAGTGACTATGTTTTTGTGCTAAATGAAGATACTTACTCCTCAGCCTGTCTTGCTCATTATTCCCACAAGGTATTGAAAAGTACTGTATGGTCCTGTAGGGTGCAATTATAATTCTAGTATTTCAGAGTAACTCATTTAACTCTATGGAAAAAGTAAAAGATGAAGCTTTGTTTATTGTTTAAAGGCATTTCATGACGCTAGTAAGTTGTATGTGCTTTTTCTAACAAAATTTATGGTTTGCAAGAGCAATGATAATATTTTTGCAGTATGTTTGAGATTACTCACAATCAGCGATTTAGTATATTATTTTACATAGAGTTTGTGCATCACCAATGCATTCTTTGAGGATAGTTAATTTTCAATGTCATTGTTGATGTATTGAACTAAGAATTGCTTATTAGCGTTAAAATCAAACAAGTGTCTGGATAATATAAATGTTTCATGCAAAGAAAAGGGCTGGTGTGAGCTGCTGATGCATTTAATGCGTTGTAATTGGGCCAGATTTTAAATAGATTTAGTGACTGCAATGCCCGAAGCAACAATGAAATGATTCAAAAAGTCGACCACCTATATATGTGTAAATGTTCACAGCAATTCCACGAATACAGCTTTCAAGACCACGTATTAATTGCATAGAAATAAGTTATGCTTTCTTGGGCTCGTTGATGGAACTAGTTTCCATGTTGTACGGAAAGTTTTTCCGCAGCTTTTGAAAGTTGGAAGCCCATGTCAAAGACATAGAGGGAATAGTGCTTCATTAAAGAAACGTTTCTCAAGCAATTTAGGCAATCTCGATGTCAAAGCATATTGCATAAGCTATTTTCATGTGAATCAGCCCAGACATGAGAAAAAAGTGAAATAACCAAAGCAAATTAACTTGATAACCGGATGTAACGTTTTGAGAAATGAAGTAAAACTTCATCCAGCATTTCAGGCGCTTTTACATGCATTCGAATCAAACTTGCCGCCGTTTAACTATAATTATAAAGGAAGTATTATCGTTTGATTAAATATAAATTGTTGGTGCCTTTGAAAAAGCCAGTGTGTTCTGCCCATACCTTTGATGCATGAAAATTGGTCAGACTTTTAATCAATTTTGCAACGTTTGAAGCAGCCGTGAAATGATTCAGAAATGTATATTCATGAATTTTAGTTTCTTCAGTAAGTCGGCATCTAGTATATGTGTAAATGAAAATGGCATTTCCAGGATTAAAAAGGTCAAGACCACGTATAAACTGCAGATTATTTAGACATTTTATGTTCATTTCTGGTACTATTTTCTAAGTTGTAAGGAAGTTATTTCCGTAATATTGTAAAATTGGAAGCCCTTGTTAAAGAAATTGTGGTGAAGGCGACGTAAAGTGTCAAAATGAACCGTATTCTCGAACAATGTAGGCAATCTTCACAAAAGAAAATTGCATAAGTTTTTTCATGTGTGTAAGCACAAGGACAAGCGTAAAGAAAATGTCAACTTGCCAAATCAAATTGACTTGATAGCCAGGTAAATCTTATTGAGAAGTGAAGTCAAATTGAGCAACTGCAAAGAAAAAAGCAACCATGAAATAATTCAAAATGTAAATTCGTGAATTTTTGCTGCTTCAGGAAGTCGGCCATGTAGTATATCTATAAATGAATCATAGCATTTCCTGAAATAAAAGATCAGGACCACGTATAAATTGCATAGAACTAACTTTATGCTTACTGTGGTTCTTTGTTGAAACTATTGCACGGAAATTCTTTCCGTAGTATTCTTACGTTGGAAGCCCTTGTTGGAGAAATTGAGGGAAGACGATGAAAAGCTTAACGTCTGAAATGTTCTCAAGCAATGTTCGCAATCTTTGCAACAAAGCAAATTGCATCAGTGAATATGTGTGTATCCCCACCAGCACAAACTTGAAAAATATCAAACAAGCCAAATCAAATCAAACTGATTAACCGTATTGAGAAATGAAGTCAAACTTCATGTAGCATTTCAGGCACTTTAACATACATTCGAATTAAACTTGCCACAGTGAAACTATAATTTCAAAATGAAAGGAAATGTGTCGGTTTGATATAGCATAAATGTTTCATGCCATTGAAAAGCCTAGTTTGAGCTGCTGATGCGTTATAATCCGCTATAATTGGTGCGATTTTTACTCAACTAAGCCACTGCAAAGTATGAACAACCATCTGAAGCAACCATAAAATGGTTCGAAAAAGTCAATTCCTGAATTTTGTTCACTCAGGAAGTCGACTATAAATACATAGGAATAAATTAATTTAGCTATAACAGGAATTCAAAGTTCAAGATCACGTCTAAGTTTCGTAGAAACGTATTTAGGCATTCCGTGGTTCATTTCAGGAACTAATTATTTAAGTTTTATGGATTTCTTTCCCAAGTGCTTGAAAGTTGGAAGCCCTTGTCAAAGAAACACAGGGAAAGACGACGTGTAAAGTATCATAAATAAAATGTATTCTCAAGCAACATAGGCAATCTTCACAACGAAACAATTGTGACAATTAAGTTATTTCATTTGCATTTACACAAACGTGAGAAAAGTCAAATTAGTGAAACTATCTACATTAACTTGTCAACCTTTTTTTACTACTTTCGCGTAAATTGTGTACACTTGAATCGCGCAAGCAATATTTTAACGTTTATTCATTTTTCAAAATAAAGAAGTCGCAATAAATCTGTTGCGTTAGATCATGCCGTTTCCTTTTGTATTTTTTAAATATTTTGTTCAAAAGCTATTTTGTTCGAGGGGTGGGGGGGGGGGTGTATGCTGACAACGGAGGAAGCTATACATACCGAACAATTATTTTGGTGAGTGATATCGGACTTGTTTTTTGACTTAGAAACAGTACTCAACATCGAGAAAGAAGTCTTAGTAAATAAGCACCATCATTGTGTCCATACATGCAAAAAAATTTTATCAGATTTGATGAGCACAGACTGCCACCTGCTCTATACAGTTAAAAAGTTCAGAACAGGAGGTGTGTTGAAGTTTATCAAAACGAATCTGGTAATGAAGTTAGCATATATGGTTGCAGTTACCAATTTTTCAGTTTATTGGCTTGTGACTTTCTACTGGAGGTTGCTGAGAGCTGTTCCGAAATTGAGCTGCACCTAAAGCTCGGAAAATTTGGAAGACTGCTGTTTGATATCGATGATTCAAAAACAAACTTTCAATGCGACAAATTAACGTCTTCGGTTAGGGAGACTTATTCTTCAGTTCAAATATTTGTATAGCATGCCCCTAACACGGTGCTAGCTACAGCTACGCTAGTGTCACACTGATATTTTGTACGTAAACCTGTAAAACTTCCCACTGTCGTGTAATAATTCACAAATAAAAATCTTTGAAGAACGCTGTCACCGATCAAAAGTCTAAACAAAGAAAGCATCAAATTGTGTTTAATGACATGGCTCGTGCAGGTGCTTAAAACACTTGAAAAGTTCTCAAAATGAAAAATAAATTTAAGGGCTCTTGAGAGTTTCTTAAAAAACAAAATTGAAACTTTAAGGTCCTTAAAAAGTCTCGCTTGAAAGTGCTTGAATGACACTAGCTCCGTAATGTCCAGTCACAGTATGGAGAAAATACAGTAGAACCACTTCACTGAATTTTTTCGTGTCACGCATATCCTATTACGCATGTGATATTGGCAGCCAGTGAATTGCATTGTGTGACCCATAGGATTGACGATATGGCAAACGGCAGCCAGTAAACTAAAATACACAGCAGCCAGTTGAACAGCGAAGTGGCCCTACTGTATATTCCTATAGTGTGGTCCAGTTATATCTGAACAGATTAATAAGTTTATTCAAGATTAAAAATGTACTGACCCCCCCCTAATTCGTAAATAATCCTTTCTTTTCTTTTTAATCAAATAATGCACGAAGGCCTTAGGGAATAGACAAACCGACGGAAGAACTTTACCAAGAAGTAGTGAAAATTTTTAACTGCATAGTAGTAACGTTTGCGACAAATTACCACAATCACATTGAAAACATTCAGGGTGCTGGTAGCAATGGTCTTTCCTGTTGAAAGTCATGAATTGGATTTCAAATCTCCAAGAAAATTAATAGTTTCCTGCAAACAAGAGTTAACGCTTCCATTCCTCTGTATTTGTTTTAAGCAGTTTACCTGTACACGATCTGGCAAATGCTCTTACGGACACCAGCTTGAAAACTATCGTTGACTGTGGAAAATCTTGGTCTGTCTGTTATTCTTCATAATTCTCTGTATGTGGACTTATACCCAATAAATTGCTTGTTCGAGAAGAAATTGAAAGGGGCATTGCTCCCCACCCTCCTCCAGCTCAGTGGTCTTTACGATGTATTTTAGTGGCAAATCCAGGGGTAAGCAAAATATATTACAACAGCCTGTCAATTGGTTTCATCTTTTCCTTTGAAATATTCATGGCATTCTTATCTAGAGGTGTGTTAAATTTAATAGTAGCTGTAATTAATTTTCCCAACCCTGGATTCGCCCTGAATTCTACCGCATATACAAAGATCTTTATGATTTGCCTGTGCTAGACTCAGCAGGTTGTATCTCCGCTATTTGAAATTGCATTGTAACAGTTATTTGCAACATATAGTTTCCACATTTTCTCCGTATGAGAGACATCTCCAGTGATTTTCTGAAAATGTTTCTTGATACATAGAATCTGTAGCAATGAGTCCCGCGTCTCATCGAAAATCTGCGTCTCCAATTAAACTTTAACACTTCCATGTTTTGTCTTTTGTCCTTTGAAGTGCGTTAATTGTATTCATCGTATAGGTTTTGTGTTAAACTGCACGGCTGGGTAGTTGAATGAACTCCGTCTTCATCTGTGGGTGAAATAATCTTTAAATATCAAAATTTATAGTATTTTTTGTTCAAGTTACCTTAAATTACGACAACTATAATTAAGTTTCGTTATTAATTTATTTCGTACATGATTGCAAGTTTCAACTTGTTAATATTTTAAATAATTGTTGTCATTGATATCATCTAAGCTCCAAGACTGATCGATTTTTGAGAACTTTTCTCTCACATTTTGTGTGGCAGCATGTCAATGCACCTTCACAACGATTGGCAGTCCGGCAAGCGAAATGTTGTTGAGCGAATCGGATATCTATTTGACAACAAATTGATGAGCGATGTAACTTTCACTTGTGGTACGGAGTCGACCCCTGGTCGCGTATTCCACGCACATAAATTGGTTCTTGCCACAAGCAGTGTTGTGTTTTATGGAATGTTTTACGGAAACTTCAGCTGGAACGCACGTTTTGTTCACGTTGAAGACATTGACGAAAAAAGTTTTGAGCAGTTTCTACGTTTTGTATACACGGAAGTTTGCGAAATCACAGAGTCAAATGTCATCGGATTGATGTATCTGGCTAAAAAGTACTTTGTATCGACGCTGGTGAAGACGTGCTGCAAATTTTTAGAAGAAAGTTTAAAACCCGAGAACGCTTTCACAATATTAGAACATGCTGAAAAATTTGATGAGCATGATTTGGCAGCGAAATGCTGGAATGTAATTTCAACAGAAACGCTTGAATGCATCAATTCATGGGATTTCCTTCATATGCGTGCACGTGACTTGGATAAATTGTTAAAAATGAAGTGCCTTGCTGTAAAGGAAATCGATTTGTTTAAAGCAATTTTACGATGGGTCGACCAACAATGCGCCATTAATAATATTGATTTAAACGAAGACAAATTGGCTAGAAGAACAGTTCTTGGAGATTATGTTCACGAAATTCGTTTCCTGGAAATGTCTAACGATGATTTTGCTAGGCATGTCTGCCCGGCTGGCATTCTTACAAAGGGTGAAATTGATGATATATTTTGGGCTTTAGAAGGTGCTGACATGCCAAACTTAAAGTGGAAAAACCTTTCCAAAAGACGACAGCCCCAGATATTCCATGTAAGCAGGTTTGAGGTCAGCGATGTTATCGAAAAATGGGATTATAATGGTGAAAGCGACGCTCTTGCTTTTAAAATGAATAAATATGTTGAATTGCTTGGAGTAAGATTATTTGGTGAAGGGACGGGTAAGCAATACAAAGTATTCATTTTCATTAACGATTTGAAAAGCGAAGCCAAGGGAACTTTTACCTCGGAAAAAGATGAGAAAGGCATATGGGGTTATGATGTAATGTTTCCCAAACCTGTTTGTCTTCAGCCAGAGCAGCTTTATGTTATCGTTGCAACCATTTCTGGACCTTCTTCTTGTTTTGGTCAATATGCTAAAGAGTCATCTTGTCAATTTGAAGATTTTGTCCTTACAATCCAGGACGCGCCCTTTGCCTGCAGTCGCAATGGAACCAATAAATACCGAGGTCAATTCCATAAATTTTACTTTTCTTCTTCTTAATACTGCATGGATATCACAACGAGACAGTAAATTAATGATGAGAAAAATGTAATATGTAAGTTTAGTAGTACGATTTTCTTCATTTCATGTGCCGCCTATCAATATCAACTAGTAACTGAAGTAAGTTTGCAAAGCAATCATAAGTGCTCTAATTGTATAATTGTCATTGTACAGAACTGTTTATTTTCAAATGGCAGTTTGGTGTTTCTGACAAATTTCTTTGTCGAGCGTGCAATTTTGTAATTTTCATACACAAGTGTATGCATTTGAAAATGTTAAACACATTGGTGGTGGACTGGCAATAAATTAATGCCATATTTAAAGACATTTCACATTTGAATATCTGGAAATCTTTATGTGAGTGCTCTCCATTGAATTATAAATAAAATGGAGTGACAACTTCATTTTCCATATTTACGTCTAAAATTTGCCAATCCCCCACGAAACAATGCTTGTTTTCTAACTATTTTTGATCTAACTATTACAATACAAAAATCCTAAAAAATAGATAGCACATGTTATTTGTTAGTATTATGCACACTTGTTTTATAAATACATGTTTTACGTCCATCATAGAGGTTTTACGTTTAAAAAATGTTCGTCTAATCTTTTCAAAAGAAGGTACACATTTTTCCCAGTCTTTATTTCATTTTTGCTCTTAAAGATTTAACGCATAAAGCTTTTTCGTGATTTGTGATATACGCGACTGACACTAACTATAAAAACACGGCTTCAATCCAACCACCACCACCCTCACCCTTTCCTTCCCCTCCGAGTTATCATTCCAGTATACTTACAAGATACTTATAATTAAAAGTTGTTCTCTGAAACCGCTAAAACGTTACATAGCGCTCTTAGTAACATATCATTGTGTCCACGGAAACGTGATTTGCAGAAAACGAGCGTGACGTCATATGGAAACGTGTAAATTACAAAGCTGTACATTGTAACAAATCAGCAAATTGATTCTGATGTTCGTTCTAGTTTTATTTTTCTGTTATAATTTGCATTTTTCATGAACCAATATGGCAACAGCTTTCCATGGAGATTGGCAGTCCAGCAAGAAAAGTGTTGTTGAAAGAATTGGATATTTGTTTAACAATAAATTGATGAGCGACGTTACTTTTACTTGTGGACCCAAATCTGATACTGGTGGTCGAATATTTAATGCACATAAACTGATTCTGGCGGCTAGTAGTGCTGTATTCCATGCGATGTTTTTTGGAGATATTAAATTGAATGACACTTGCATTCAAATAGAAGACGCAGACGAGCAAAGCTTTGAGCAGTTTTTGCGTTTTCTCTACACTGATGTATGTGAAATTACTGCTTCAAACGTAATTGGTGTCTTGTATTTGAGTAAGAAGTATCTGATAACGTGTTTGGCTGAAAAGTGTTGCAACTTTTTGAAGGAAAATATTACAACGGAGAATGCTTTTACAATACTAGAAGAGGCTGCAAAATTCGATGAAAATGACTTAGAAGCACAGTGCTGGACCGTCATTTCTAGGGAAACACAAGAATGCATTAACTCCGATGCTTTTCTCCAGATTGGGATGCGCAGTTTTAGTAAGTTGCTAAAACAAGAAAATCTGAATGTGAAAGAAATCGATTTGTTCAAAGCAGTTTTGCAATGGACAGACATAGAATGTATCAGGAATGGACTTGATAAAAATCAGGACAAAATGGTGAGGAGAAAGGTTGCTGGAGATTCTATTTATGAAATTCGTTTCTAAGAAATGTCTTTGCAAGATTTTGCCATGAATGTTCCCGATGCCTGCATCCTGACAGAGTCTGAGCTTATTCAAATATTCAAAGCACTTGCAGGCATTGATGCCAGATTTAAAGTGGAAAAGCCTATCAAGAAGAAAACTCAAAAAGTTTCAAATAAACAGGTTTGAGTTTTCGTCAAATTCATGGAATTATGGTGGTAGTCATCCTGATGCTCTATCTTTCATGGTGAATAAGCATGTGTACCTGTTAGGTGTAAGATTGTTTGGAGATCATTGTGGAAGCCAATATAAGGTTGAGTTTTATATGAATGATGAAGAAAATAAAGTTTCTGGAACTTATATTTCGGCACAAGATAGCCATGGCATATGGGGGTATGATGTAATGTTGCCAAAACCAGTTTTATTAAATCCAGATCAATTGAATACAGTTGTGGCCATTATTAATGGTCTTAGTTCTGGATCAGGTGAAAATGGCTCCATATCTCATTCATTTGAGGATATTATTATAACTTTTGATAATGCATGTGGTGATACAAATGGTACTGATAAATCCAGAGGTCAATTTTGTGTGCTTTTCTTTTCTTACATCTAAAATGTATAATTTTTTTAGCAACTAAACCTTTCAGGGAAACTATAATTAGTTGCTAAGTTTCCATCAAATTGGCTTACATCTTTCTTCTCAGTTTTTGCCCCCTACCCCCCTGATTAAAAATGCCTATTTTAAACACACAAGCTTCATTTAATGCATTTCTTTGTTGCTTGCAGCTTGGGAAATCATCACATGTGTTAAAAAGTATAATTTGTTTATCATACAGTTTATTCATGAACCTAATTATGCAATAATAATAATAATAATGATTCATCTTAATGAATGTAAAGGTGTAAAACATTTGTGTGCTTTAAAATCAACATTATTTATCTATTATATTTCTATATCTGCATAAGAATACTTGCAAAGCTTATCGAAATTGGTGCAGAGAACTGTCTAGAGGAGAGAGCTTTTTCCCTTCTTTCTTCGGAATAATTCAATTGTATTGTATATTTTGGTTGGCTTTAAAAAACCCAGATCAACCCAAATTTTTGGGGGGAAACGGGAGTTGTTTATTTTAACATTACATCAAATGACCATTAATTACATCCAAATCACAATGAAGGAGAGAATGATGAACAATTAAGTAAATTCAGAAATTTGGGAAGGGTGTGCTAATTTTGATAGTTCTGCAACAGTCTGTAAGTGAATGCCTACATGCCTACCTAAATTTTAGGTTGATAGAAGCTCATGTTACATGTAAGCAATGAAGAGAAACAAGAACTAATTTCTTACCAAATCAATTTTTTTCACTCATAAACATTCTTTCGCATGGCAATCACTAAAATTAACAGCATACACTTTAGTACATCCGACTCCATCGCATTGTTTCTTTTGTTGACTTTCGATATAGTTTGTCCGAGTTTGTCCGAGTTTGTCTTTGTTTTGCTACGTGCATCATAAAGTATTGCGCAATTTGTAACGCAGGCTCAATTTTTCTCTGGGATTTTGCTTTGGAGATTGCAATCATTCAATACTTCATATCTTCAGTTTAACTAATGTGGCGAATTCTCAAAACTTCACCAACTTAAAAGCCCCAAAACCAACGCACTTGAAGTATCGATGGCGCAGTATGCTTCAGGTGAGTGATGTGCTTGTATCAAATATTTTTGTAGACTTCATGATAGATGAAAAGTTTGCATGAATGGATTATGGATGAATAATTTGTAACTAGCCAATTTACATGGCCCAACTACAGCATTAACAATCATGTAAAAACGTAAAACATACTTGAAAGGCATGCTGTAAAGGTTCTAAAAAACCTTGTATGACATAAAATGGTAACTTGCTCCAGTTTAGGTCTTTAGGATAGGTGGGGGAAGATATGGCAGATGTGTAATGGGTAGTTTGTGAGTTTGTTTTGACTGAAGTATCAAAGTATTAGTAAGTTTCGCATTAGAGATTTTTAGAAAATGAGTAACATGTTTGAAATTGTTTAATTGTATGAAATTTCATTTGGGAACCAATTGATTAGTTTGAAAGTTCCTCATGTTTTGGTTATTGAACAAAGAGATGCATGTTATTATAGTTATTCTTGGTTTAAAATGGTAGCCATTGTGTAATTTTTCTTGAAAATAGTTTTCCTGGTTGTCAACTCAGTTGATGAAAGGAACATGGCATGAGAAAATTTTGTAGCATGTAACCAGGAAATTTTGTTTACTTCATAAGAAATTTTTTGAGTAATTGCATGATGCATAAAACAAACAAATGGATTGATTTGTTTTATTTGTCAAGTGAAAAGATGAACAATGTAATGTCTATGAAATAGCAAATAATGAAACTGGAGCATGTGGTCCTTGTGGTGGACTTTTGTGCAATACTTTGAATAGGTGTGTTTCCTGACTGGCCAACAAAGTCAAAAAATACTTACTAAAAATCACTGGAGATGGCTTTCTAAATGATAGTATTCTGTCTTAAAGCTCTGGACAACTTATGTGAAACTTTTTACTTTGAGCAATAGCTTCCCATTTTAAATTTATGTTTTTATACTTATTTTGCCATCAATTATCATTATCAAATTTTCTTATTTTTGGTTTTTGATTATCTTCAGGGTATACTACATCTCATGCAAACTACAGGTATGGTGACCATTATGACTATCAGCAGTCCCAACCTGTGATGCTCCTAGATCATATAACACAGCTTATGATTCTGGCTATACGCAACCACCCATGCCCATATACCATTCACCACCCCCTGATGATTCTGGTATTGATCCTGCTCATATCCATGAAGTTCATCAGTTTGTTAGTGATGCCCGCTCAGCCTGGGAAGAGAGTAGCTCATATATAAAAGATGGCCAACAGTTTGGTGGAAGGGATTCCTATGCACCAGATTCTGGTGTTGGTTATCATCCTCGTGAGCATACTTCTCCATATAGGGACAGCATGGATGATACATCCATGACACACATTAAAATAGTTGATAGCTTTAGCACTGAAACAAGTGATGATTTTTATCCTCGCGAAAATTTTGATCACCACTATGAAACAGTTGGATTTTCAGACTATAGAGGTGTGCCTCCTACTAGAGCTAATCGTATAATGAGGGGTCAACCTCTGGTTAGAAACAGACTATCTCACAGAGGAGGTCCTCCACCTAGAGGAATCCATAGATATGTTGCCAGTCAGCAAGTAAGGAGTGATTATGATGGAACTGATGGCTATCAGCGAGGTGGGATGATGAATAGAGGTGCTAGTAGAAGTAGAGGACGTGGGGCTAACTTTAACGTAAGTGGTGCAGAAAGACGTCGTGGACTAAATCGTGGTGGACAAAGTCGCGGTAGACTAAGTCGTAGTAGACAAAGTCGTGGTGGAGTAACTCGTGGTGGTCAAAGTCGCGGTGGACAAAGTAAAGGTGGTGATAATCATGTGCATAATAACATTGGAGGTGGTAACGTAAGGCGCGGACGATATCAAGCAGGAAACAGAGGAAGAGGACAATCTAGTAGACGAGGAAGTGAAGGTATGGGAAAAGTTATATATTTAGAAAATAACAGGAGAAGAGTCAATTATAATCAATTTATTGCAATATTGAAAATTACAGACCAAGGACGTGGACAATCACGTGGCGCCGGTAGTACAATGGGTAGAGGATTGATTCCGGAGAGTATGATCCCCGATGTCACCCCTATAGGTGAAGCGAATGAAGTCACAGGAAGAGGTGGACAAAATAATGGTATTCGTAGGGGTCAAGATAACAACAGAGGTCAACATAGTGGTGCACGTGGTAGAGGACAAAAAAGCAATGCTACCAGGGGTGGTGCCAAAATGGTAAAACCATTTAAGAGTAAGTGTATGCCGTTTAACACGTAAGTGCTAAATGCTCTTTAGCAATTTTTTTCGTCAGGCAAAAAGAGCACTAGACAACATCTTGTATTTTGCTCATTATTATGTTCGTAAATATATCCTATAATGTTTTACTATCCAGTGCCACAACCTGACGCTTCAGGATATATATCGTATAAAAATAGTCTACAGGAGTACGCCCAGAAGAACCATCGACCTATACCTAACTACACCTGCCAGAAAGCAGACGTCGGCTACACGGCAAGTGTGATGGTGGATAATATGATGTTTTCCAGTTTACAATCACAGATTGAGAGAAAGGAAGCTGAACAAAGTGCTGCGTTTGAAGCTTTAAAGGCGTTCGGCTTCATTGATTATAATGAAACGTTTTCCCCGAAATTCAGCGGTAAAGGTGCGTAACTCTATGTCATGCGTATTATGTTAAAGCGTTATTCGGAAAAAGAAGCGAAGGTCAGTCAGCTTAATGCTTCAGTACAAAATTTATTTCTAACCATTAATTTAATGAAGTATAGATATTTCATTGTTTTAGAAGTACACTTTTTGAAAATTCCAGGAAAGAAGAGGTCGATGGACGAAGCTAACGAAGGAACACCTGCTACCAAAATGATGAAACAGGAGACGCCAGAAAACACCGTTGTCGCAGCCGTTCAATCGTTCAAAAGCAAGCTGAACGAAGCCATTATGAAATGGAAGCTAGACCTTCCTACTTATAATACTGTGAGGACGGCTGGAGGATTTTTAAGCACGCTCGTTTTTAACGGCCAAGGTATGCGTTTATATTTTTTATCAATGAAAAACTGTGTTACCATAAAGCTGTCATCCTTATCATGATTTTAAATGTGTCATCCAAAACTTTGCTTAACTAATCTGCGATCCTCTAACGCTGGGATTCCAAATTCTAACTGGTATCATTGTATTTATTTTGGCATTTCATCAAAATATTATGATACACAAACTATGTCTTCTTTTCGCTCTGGGTTTTCTTTGTAGCTAATTCATTGAACTTTTTCGTTATTTTCCTGAAAACGAAGTTGATGTAGTTTATTGCATGGTGGAACATGATGTTGTGCTGCTTACATTGTTAACAGTATTGTTTGATGTTGTTTTGCATGAATCGGGGCAGTGTTTACAACTGTAAGTAATAAGGGCAGCAGAACGTCGTTCAGCCCTGTTGTATTGCAGGCTCGGAGTTTTTAGTCGTGTGTATCATTTCGAGCTACCGTGTTGCTACTTTTGAGATCTACCCTTCTAATATTTCAGTGTATGAGGGCGTTCAGGTTTATGGAACGAAAAAGTTGGCCGAGCAACATGTTGCCGAGATCGTTTATAATCAAGTGGACTTGAAGGCTGAAGCCAATGCAAGAGAAGGTCGTATATCAGCAGCTCGTCAAGGTTAGTTGAAATCATACTGTACGTATTCATGCAGTCCCTTTCAAGCTCGCTGTAACTGACCACAATCTTGTATCATGGCAAAGTTGTTTGTTCAACTTGCTTACTTGTTGTTTGAAACCATTACAGTGGGACCGAGTCACAAAGTGGGCCATTTTCATCGGAAAACGCGTATCGACCTTCATGTTTTTCTCCTTGTCTTTTCTTTATATGTAGCAGCTGTGAGATATAGCTAATTTTCTTCGTAGCTTCAATATCGAAAGAAAAGTCCTGGGAATTTGACTTATATTTTCTTAACGGAACATTCCCATAGCTGAAATACGGAAATTTATTCAGGGTTGAGTACATGGTAACAATAGTGTACTCAACAAGTTTGACAACGAAAAATGTAAAATAGTGAACCTATGGTCATTGGACGTTTGTAAATTTACTTCAAACTTTTTATTACGGGCAAGAATGCTTTACCTCTTCGAATTTTTCTGGTAACGCTTTCAGCGTGTAATACTTCGTTACAGTAAATTTAAAAACTTTACTGCACGACTATGTTTTCTTTATTTTACAATATTTCTACATCAAACTTTGCCAATACACTGCTGTCGCCATGCTCATCCCTGCTGTATTGATAAATTGATGTCAATATGTGGGAATGTGCCATTGACCATGTCACTGTCAAACATGTGACGGTTTCCACATTAGACTTTCTTCTTGCAATAAACTTCAAAAATCTTTGAAAAGTGTTTGTATGCATCAGTCGTCACCATTGTTTTCAGTTCACCAGCATTGATAATTGGGTGAATGGTTCGAACGCGGGAGTATCGTTAATATTTGTGCGTAGATCGTCCAGGTTAGTAGAGTGGACTGTTTGTGTTGATGTTAACTGACGTTTCGACAACCTTTGCGGTAGTCATCTTAAGAGTCAAGGGTCAAGGGTTGTTTATACGTGTAAGTCAGTCAACATCAACACCAATAGTTCTTCTCAGGAGTCTACTAACCTGGGCGATCTACATTTACAAAAATTTATTGATAATTTGGCTATCCATAATCCCATATTCATTTTCACGAACCGTTATGACAATAAATTTTAAAAAAAGTAACGATACGAAATGCAAATCATGCCAATTTATCAAAAAATCAAAAGTAAGAAATATTTATATTTTTATAATTCATAATTTAATAATATTTTAAACATGAAGAGTACGGGTGCTTCCCCTCGATCATCAAGCTGGCTACGTCACCGATGCATACTCTTCCTTCCCCCGTGTAATCCCAGCAAGTATTTTACAAGTAATTTGCTTCGTTGGGAACATATGTATTTTTACTATACCTGTTGTTTACTAGATGCAAGCCTAAACGCAGGCGATACAAATGTGCCCGCAGTACCGACCACTGCGCCGGCTGCGGGCATCAGTGAGAGCCCAAATCCTGTGGCTCCAAAAAGCAAACCGTTGAAAAATATTGTCCAAGAGTATTGTCAACAGAATGGTTTAAAGTTACCCGTATATAACACTGTCAAAGACTCCGGCATGTTTATTGCGACAGTGAACGTGAACGGTGTTGATTATGTTGGCACCCCACACATCATGAAGAAAACCGCTGAAAATAATTCGGCCAAGAAGGTGTGCGAATCTCTTGGCCTGAAATAGACGCTTCAAACTTTTTATGACTTACCATGAAACTGTTGATTGATGTATTAATTTAATGCACCATATTATAGTGCAAAACACATTGTAATATGGTGTATCAAAGAATAAACTTCGCCTATGTCTACCTCGCAAGCTTAAGGTTGGACTGTTTCAAAAAAAATAACGATTAACAGCGTATGGCATTTATACCAAGAGTCAAAGGGACTGTTTGCAAGAACCTGGCAAGCCGTGATTTTTTGAGGCGTTAAGTATGCTTGAGGTATCGAAATTAGTTTCTGCTTTAGCTAGTAGAAATTTGAACATTTAATAAAAAAAACCATAAACGAGACTGATTTTTCAGGTAATTTTGGTACGATTAAGGTTTTGATACGTTTTTGTGCGTTGTATTAATATACCACTAATATCCAGGTGATAATCAGAGAATTGTGAATTCATAGACGCTCGTTACAGTTTGACAATTCACGCCTCGATGAATCATTGCTATCCGGTGTCTAGTAAATAGAAATTTTACTAGTGGTCTGTTGTTTTTATCCTTTTTGATCTTAGACATTCTCTCGGGGACGCCGTAACGTCTATAATTGGAGTGGAGGGGGAAATATTCATATATTCATAGTCACAGCTCGTAAAAACAATTGATTTAAAAGAAAGTACTCAAACAAAACACGCTTGTATGAATATTTGCCTCCCCTCAATTATCGACGTTCCTGAGTCTCTGCAATCTCTACTATTTTGTTTACCACTTACGCTACGCTGGACTAGCTTTCGGAACTTAAGGGTTGGTTTTTAGCAAGATAGAAAATTTCATGTTTGTCGTCCTTTTGGTGTTGTTTAAGCTCTGTACAGATTGCCTGCTTGGTCTTCATGCGATGTGGGATTTTTAAACATCGTAAAAATAAATTTGAGTTTGGTTGAACGATACGAGACGAATCATCATGATGAAGCTAGTCGTTTTCAAATAATAGCGAAAGACTTCCCGAGCGGAAATCGGATTCGTGTAGTAAAAATTAATGCCCAACATAAAGTTCTGATTAGAGCCATAGAAATAGGCAAAAAAAAACCAAATTGTAAAAACAAATTTATTGTAAGTTGAGTAAAGACGAAACGTTACAATAAATTTGATTTTACAATTTGTTTTTTTTTTTGGTCTATTTCTATGGCTCTAATCAGAACTTTATGTTGGGCATTAATTTTTATTAGTCGTTTTCGTTATGTCGTAATAATAACGATGAGCAATGACTTGATGACTCTTCATTCTGTGAAAACCGATTTCTGTAATTGTTTTGTTGTTTTAAAAATTGATGGTATTGAAACATTCCATCCCTTGCTTGGTATAAATGGCCTGGAAGTTTAGTTTACATGATTGTCCTTTTGTTTCGCAATTGCATCACATGAAATATATTCTGAAACAGTTTTTAGGTTAAGGAATGTCAATTGCGTGTTTTGTTGCTTTCGAAATGTTTGATATTTTTCTTGATGTGTGTTGTAATTCAGTGATAGGTCGTAAGCCTATCAAATTATTTATTTTGTGTTTTGTTGTTGGCTAGTGTAAAGAAAGTTCTCGTACATTGTATTTTCATTTCTTTGCAACAACGCACGAGTATTGTTGGTTATTGTAAAGTTGTAAAGTTTTCGTTCCATGAAAAAGTTCATTAAAGTAAATGGTTTGAACCCGGGAGTGTTGTTACATGTTTGTAGATGTAGATCATCCAGGTTAGTAAAGTCCTGAGAAAGACTGTTGGTGTTGATGTTGACTGACGTTTCGACAACCAGCAGTCATCTTCAGAGTCAAGAGTGTACTAAACTCTTAAGATGACTGCCGTTAAGATTGCTTATAAGTCACCAACACCAACAGTCCTCGGGACTCTACTAACCTGGACGATCTACATCTGCAAACATGCAAAAAAGTTCATTGTGCAACTAAGCTCAGCATTCTGAGATGCAGCTCTACCCATGAAGTGTATCACATGATCAATTTCGCATTATTTTATCCGCCTGGTAAAAATAACATCGAAAGACCAAATTGCAACATGGCAAGTGGCTGCAATCTGCTGGAATATATTGCAACCAAATGATCTTAGTTTAATGGTGAATAAACGCTTTTGTTGCTATTATAATTCTTGTATTATTGCATGAATACATTATGTTGAGTCATTAACTCATAAATATATCTTTTGGAGATGTACGCAATCTTTGCGTTATAGAAACTGTTGCATGAAGCAGAATATTTGCATTTAGAAGGTCATCTCAATCGATTCTTGTGTAAGCACTATAAGGCATTGATTCTTTACTTGGATGGCGCAGAAAACATATAAATTCCCTCTCCCCCATGCAAATACATTCCTAATCAGAAAATATCCAGAGGTGGCAATTGCATTCGTCTCCTGTACTGAGTGAATGACAAATCAATGGCCTATAGCACTTACACAAAAGCAGATCTGGCGTTGGGCTATATCTTGAACTCTTCAAAAAGCTCTTGAATGATGAAAATGGCGATAGACTTTCCAGGCAGGAAACGTAATATTATTATGAATATTAGAGCCCAGCTTATTGCAATACAATGAATTGTCACTGTAGCTAAAATATAGCTTGTAAGGTAATGAAAGAATTTTATTGACGTCAATAAAATTCTTTTATTACATGATTATATTTTACAGTGACAATTCATATTATTTCAATAAGCTGCGCTATAATGTTTATTACAAGATTAAGCTCTTGAATGGTAAATTCAATCTAAGAGCCTTTAAAAAACCCTTTGAAAAAGAATAAATTCCAAGCTCTTTGAAAACTACTTAAATTTTGAAAGTGTGATTTGAGAAATTGCCCAGCTGATTTTTCTGCCTCAATTTTCAAGCAAGTTCATCACCACAACATTTTTGGAGTTTATCTGTCTTTGGTACATGAATGCGTTGCTAATAATAATTACTTGAAAATTTTTGTAAGACATGCTTGTTGTCACGCGGGACTCACATCATATATAGAGGGATTTTAGTTCTTGAAATCGATATTATTTGCTCGAAAATTTCTTGAAAAATCCATGAAAGATTTACAAGAAAAGTAGGGCGCACACTATCTAATGTCACGGGAGATGAACTGCAGCATGTAAATAATCTGTGACGTAATTATCACTGCTGAAGATAGCTACAAATAATAAGACCTTGGTTTGTTGGGAGAATTTATCAAAGAATAATTGTGAATTTTTTTAATAGCTGTTTACGCTGCTAATTTAAAAATATTGCGAAATATCTGGCAGCATAGAAAGTTTTTGTTGCATTGTTCTGATTTGAAATAACCTTTCTTTTACTGTCGTTTTCTGAAAAAACATACATCAGAATTACAGTGTGATTCCACAACAAAGATCACAATATAACTCAAATTTAATAAAAAATAAATTTCTTGACTTTACTAGAAATTTCACTATAAACGGCAACGTTAAAAAGTAGCTTGTTCTCCAATGTAAATTACGTCGGGTGAACTAGACCCAGTCACACCACCTCAAGGTCAAACACGAAAAAGCCAACTTTGAAGTCCAAAAATTCAAGAAAGATTTTTGTCTTATAAAGTATATTGCAAATGTTCTTAAAATGCTCCAGACTATCTAAATAAATTATCTCTCCCCCCGGGGAGATGGAGGCATTTTATATTCTCAAATAGTTGATTCTCACCAGATGTTCATGAATTTGACTGGTTAATTTTATCATGCTCCATTTCCTCCGGCCATCTTAGTCGTTATGATTAATTGAACAAATTTGGTCGTCTTTAATGAATTGTATGTATTGCAGGTAAAGTTTATTTGGCTAGCAAGCAATTTCAAACAAAATTACAAAAACACTGCTGCTCTGGGTAAAATCTTTCTATAAATTGTACATTAGCTGGATAACTTACGTGTAAAAGAAAAATGGGCTTTTTGGCCTTGCAGCAGCAACTACCAGGTGCATGATGACTGAAAAGAGACAGAGATTGGGAAAAATGAATTTGATAATTGCATCTACACAGCTACTTTAAACTTAAAAGCATGTTTCAAGTTTTATGGCACGAAATTTTATCACTCAGTTTTCTAGCTTTATTGCAAAGACCATTCAAACTTAATAATTTCTTAGCCTAAGTTGTACATCCATACTTCTCGCAAGTATTTATGCAATAGTTAAGAAAAGCTTTCCCACTCATACGTCACACTGTTTGAGCTGTTGCATAATTTAACTGCTTTGTTGAAGCACATAGGAACGTCTTCCAACACTTGCCCTCTTTGAAATTTCAGTTTTGGTGGAAGGACCTACGCGACATAAATTACAAAAAAAATATGCTGAAAATGCACCACCAAGCTATCAATAACTCGTTTTTCTATAGCTTTTTGAATAGGAAAAATGTGCGAATTGAAAGTGATTTAGACAATGTGTGTCAACCACAATGCATTGCACGTTTTTGTTTATGTTTACATCTTTAGTTTTTGAGCCTGCGGCACACTAAATCAAAGTTCGTCATTACGTCATCTAATTTAGCTGAAAAATTCAGCAAAAAACAGTTAAAAAGTATCAAGTTTGTAAAAATTCAAAACACGTCAATAATGTCAAACTCCGAATCCGATTTAGCGTTGTCTTTTCTTTTATCATATTTACGAATCGAGTGTTGTTCAACTTTCCGTTTGGCCTTCCACGCTTAGGAAACGACGCCATTTCAAATCAAAAGTTCATAAAATTACTTATTTTAAAGTTGTTGGTTGGTCAAAGTTCCATGGACAACAAATAATAACATTAGCCGCCATTTTCGCGACCCAGAAAATGGCCGCCATGCCGTGATCAGCGCGCAATGCATCTTGGTTGACACGCATTCTTTAATTTTGATTAAAGCAGTATAATTTATGCCACAGCTCAAAGAAATGTGACGTATGCAAGAGAAAGTTTTTTCTTCAATATTGCGTAGATCTATACTAGAAGTATATGTCTATGACGCAAGCTATAATTTCTTTACTCAAAATTGTATTTGTTTATGAGACATTGAAATTGAAGCTATTAAGTAATTTTGGATTCCTTTGCAATGTAATGAAACGGCTGTGGTATGAAATTTTTATGTCATAAACACTTATATGTTTATGACACGAAATAAACGTAGAAATTTTTATTTCCAAAACACATGTC